GTTTAATTTTGCTCTTGTAGCTTAAATTAATGGATATTGTAAAATAAATGCAGCACAATTGATAACTTAAATAGGCCACCAATAATTGATGTATCTCTGTTATTATAATCCATATTTGTTGGTGTTATTGATTATTGATATTGAGATATTATTGTTGACTTTATAGTGTTGTTAGTTACATATTAACATTTCTCAGTACAAGTAGGACCCATTTGATCTGACCCATCCAGACTTCAGACCTGTGAACTCTCTGAAATAAACAGCAACAGTACAGGAAATAGATGTACAGGTACATAATAGTTCAGATTAATAATTAACACAGCACAGCTGTAATACGTTAGAGGCAGCAAAAAGTAAATGAGTGGAGATATCCATCTAAAAGTGCAGGTAATCACCGTAATCTCTTTCCTTTCACATCCAGGCAACATTATTTTTAGCTCTGCTGGTTCTTGCTGCCTCCGTTCACTCCGACCCCCAGTTTTATCTGCCCATCGACTGTGATGACATCTATCACCATGACAACACCACCTCCAGTGGGGTGTACATCATCTATCCTGGAGGTCCCACCACACCCCTGCAGGTCTACTGTGACATGGACACTGACGGAGGCAGATGGACTGTCAGTACACCTCATATTTAATCAGATTTTATCATCTTAAACATGAACAACCATCAGACTGTGTGCCTCAAAGTAGCACCTGGTTGATTCTAAAATATCTTTAGAAAAGTTGTCAAGATTTATAAATTCCCCTTGAAATCAATGAAATGAGGCAATGGAAATACTTCCACTTTTGTCCACAGGGGCCGCCAGAATCAACACAAAATGAAAGTTCCTTGTTGGGGCTTTAAATTGATAATTAATAAATAAATAAATAAATAAATAAATAAATAAATGAATGAATAAAATAAGATAAAAAATTAAATAAGTAAATAATACCAATAAATTAAATAAAGTAAAGAAATAAATAAAAATAAATGACACTGAATGAATGTTTAACCTCTCTCTCTTCCTCTGATTTTCCCCCTTCAGGTATTTCAGAGGAGGATCGATGGGACTGAAAGCTTCTTCAGGCCCTGGAGCCACTATAAAACTGGATTTGGGAATGTGGCCGGAGAATATTGGCTTGGTGAGTTCTTGAGGGAAAAATACATTAAAAACTGTGCTGCTTTGCATCTTAATTTGCTGAGTTGAGAAGAAATATAAGGTGTGATTTTAAACTATGTGAAGGGTGACAGACTGGAAGGAAAGGTTAAAACATGTAAATGATAAGAGGAATTGGAGCAGGAGGTGAAATGAAACAGATCATTATGCACATTTTTCAGGCCTGGAAAACATCCTCCTGCTGAGCATGAGGAAGAAGAATGAACTGCGGGTTGACATGGAGGACTGGGAAGGAGGGAAGGCATTCGCCCAATATTCCTCCTTCTCAATCGATACTGAGAACGCCGGGTATCAGCTTCATGTGGGCAGCTTCACTGGCGGATCAGCAGGTGAGAATCACTGAGTGGATCTTACTTTGGGAAGTTTGAATGTGAAGGCAAATGGATGAATATACTGTAAGTAATACTGAATGAAAAAGGGTTCCTTTATCATTTTTGGGGCTTTTTTTAGGATTAAGAAATTAGAAAAAAAAAAAAGAAATGGGCCAGGGGCAAAAAAACAGTCTCTTTAAATAATTTATTTTCCAAGTTAAGTTTTTGTTGTATCCTTACAGAGCTGAATGTAATACTGGACTAATAGGCTAGAAAACAATAATGAAAGCTTGGATTGATTTTTGTGATGCCAATGAAAATGTGGTTTTCCGGAGACAAATTGAACTGTTGTCAGATTAATGAAAAATGAAACAATAATGCTCTTTCAGCAAAAAAAAGAAAGAAGTGTTTTTCAAAATACTAGCTTCATTTTAGCCCCTTTATTTGGAGATGCCTTGTTTACCTTTATTATTCAGAAAGAAGATAATCCAGTCTGCGAAGGTAAGAGAGTGTTCAGCTGGCAAGGGACTGTACCAAAATTACAGGGGTGCGAAGGGGTGTAAAATATTCTAAAAAATACTCCCCCCCTCACATGTGCTGTGCTTAAGTGAACATTCAGATTCTTATCCAAACAAATAAACTTAAATCCTCCGCTGGCAAAATGGTAATACAGCAGGAGCACTTTTTAGAGTTTTAAAGATCAACTATTCAACTCAGCTAACATTGTTTTTATCTTTATTTCTAGGAGACAGTTTAGCAAATAACAACGATATGAAGTTCACCACCTTTGACAAAGACCAGGACCAGTGGGATAAAAACTGTGCTCAGCATTTTCTAGGTGGATTCTGGTACAACGCCTGCCACATGGCTAACCCCAACGGCATGTACGCACCTCATGGTGCCATCGGATTTGAGAACGTCCATGTTATTTGGCATGCGTGGAAGGGCTGGAACTACTCCCTTAAGACTATCGCCATGAAGATCAGATCAGTTGCTACGTGTTCATGCACACATTAACCTGATTAGCTGATTAGCTGTAGCTTAAATAGATTACGGTAATACATCACCCTCCATCAAGTGGGGAGAGTTGGGGAACTGCACTTCCAGCACCTGTGTTGTTCCTACAATATGTATAGAAAAATATGACATGTCAGTTATTAATTTATTCTTTGAAAAAGGCAAATCAGAATATTTCAGTTCAACAGGCTGAATGCATTTGATCCCTATATTCTACTTTACTGTTTATTCAGTCTCTTCTTTTTTAATGTTGAATTTTGTAAAATACTTTGGGGTTGTTGGTTTTGATAGGTCTTATATAAATAAACTTTATACTGCATTTTGTTGCTGTTATTATTATAGTAGGCCTAGTGTGGTATTGAATGTAGTAGTGTTTTCTATCCCCTGGGAACCACAAGATAATAGTCTACAACCAATGCTGATGGCTCTGTGAGGTTGTGCATAGCATTGCTAAATGCTAATGTCAGCTCGCTAACATGCTCACATTGACAATTCCAACATGCTGATATTTAGCAGTTATTTACAAAGTGTTTACAACATATGTTTACAATGTTCACAATCTTAGTTTAGCATTAGCATGATTGCTCATCAGTACTAAACTAAAGTACAGCTGAGGCTGATGGTGGTGTCATTAGTTTTTAAGAAGTGTTAAGTATTGAACACATTTAAAAAACGGACCTAGTGGCACTAAATGAGAAAGAATCACCAAAGGATTCAACATTTGGGGCACTAAGATTGTCTGCACACAGTCAGTGCTGATCCATCATACTAATATTGAAGTATTTAAGAGGATAAGTTAAAACTTTGACCTGCTGGTGGCGCCTGGAGATGAAAAAAAAAGCCTTTTATCAGGATCAACTTTTTTTGTGACATACTTCTGTGCGCTTCAGAAATCATCAAAGGAGGAAGTTAAAACGCTAAATGCTCTTTGACATTAAAACTTTACTAATAACAGACAGGGTGCATGTAAACTAAACACAAGGTGTCGCCCTCGTATTGACAGACAGGTGTGGTCTCAACAGGTAGGCTAACATGGAGTGTTACTGGATAAAGAAGAGAACATACTACTGGATCTGACCTGGATATATTACTTACTAAAGTATTCCCAGTGTTTGAAACCATTAGCATGTGACAGCAGTAAAAAAACAACAACAACATAACAAAGAACAAAAAGTTGTGATGATCATATTTCATTTGAGCTTTTACAAAAAGACAGTTGTCCGTTGTGAAATTATTTTCTGGGTTTCTTAAAGGTCACCAGGAATTTGTTTTCTGGAAAGGAAAGTCTGCTGCTCTGTGACTACGTGTAATGTTAATACAGGACAGGCCCAAACAGGCCAGGGATCAGCTGTGGTGAAAGAAGTATTCAGGTTATTTAGTTTTAAAAGCTATTTAAAACCGAAGTATTTTTAACAAAATATATGTAAGGTAGCAAGAGTGAAAGTACTCATTATGCAGAATGTCCACTGGCAGTGTTACATTATTATATATGCACTACTGAAAGTGGAAAGTGGAAGTGGAGATCATTTTAACTGTTTTATATACTTTTGGGTAGTTGCACTGCCTCATATTTTATAAGATAGAAGTTACATGTGCTTATAAAACCACAATGTGAATGTTGCTAAATAACTATGGCTGTGCAATAAATTGGAATAAAAAGTGCTTTTATTTCTACTGGAATCACATGGACATGATTCACAAAATCTTATGGCAATTTATGTAAACATATTCCCATAATACCAATAATTCCAAGTAATTAGGATTCATCCTCTGGAGACCATAAATATCTGACACATTTTAAAGCGATCCATCAAACAGTTGTCCAGGACCAATGGGACAACATTACCATGTCTTAATGTCCAATAGATTTAGTTTAGTCTTTATTATTTTTTGGAAAGTGCTTTGTTGACACTGGTTTTGGTAAATCTTACATAAATAAACTTTATTATTACTAGTAGCAGCAGCAGTAGTAGTTATTAGTAAATCTGGTATTTTATTTCTTAATGTTTAAAATGTATTAAAGATGTAAATCTGGAAGAAGAAAATGTGACATTGCAAATTTTAGAAAAAAAAAGGTAGTTTAATTTGTTTTCTATTGTCCTCTACTGGAGTAAAAGTAAATTGATCAAAACTGCTAATTGTACCACCTGTAAGAGTATTTGAGTAAATGTACTGTAACTGTAACAGGATTCATCCTGTTGGGAACATGAATGAATAAAACCACCACAGTCCTTGTAAACTGGAATAAATCGGTGATTTATTCAAGACTTGTCCAGTATAGTTAATGATTTATTTCGGTTTATTTTCCCTCAGGTGCAGCGTTATAACTGAAGTGTTGTGCTGCCAGACAATAATACTGTATGTGTTTACTTAAACAGCGTTTATGAGGAAAATAACCTCCAGCTGCTTCTTTAAGATAAAACAAACAGAGACGCCGCTGGTAGCTTTTCCCACCCGGTTCCTCCCCCTCCTCCCTCCTCTCTCTCTCTCTCTCTGGGACCCAAACTTGTTTCAGGAAAAAGCGCCTGAACATATTTCTTTCTCTCGCTGGCTGGAAGAAACAGGACAGCCGCGTCCGTGCCAAGGAGAAGGCGTAGACTTCCTCCAAACATTTCCTCCGCCATCTCCGCTTTCGAGACTCAAAGTTTTGTGGAATCTTTGTAACGAGAGGAGTTTTTATATCTTATATTCCTCTTCCTCCTCCTCCACCACCTGGTCGTTTCTTTCTTTGCCATAAAACAACAGAGAGGATTCCTCCATCTGAACTTTTTTGCAGACATGGACTGGGGAACGGATCTTTGGGTAAGTTTGACAGCTGACTCTGAAGAAGGGGAGTCCTCTAAGGAGAAGTCATTACCAAATAACATCCCTTAAGAGTAGGCTGTCCTGCTTATTGTTTTCGTCGACACAATATGTACAGGGGACTTTTTGTTTTCCTTCCACGGTAGGCCCTGGGTTAAGTAATCTTGAAACAACAGCAGGAGTCTTTCTGTAAATTGTGCAGCCAGAGGATTTCGCAACCCCAGCCACATACCTTATTTTAAGCAGAGGGGGAAGAGGTTTATTACTCTTTCTGGCGACCTTATCTACTGTGGGCTAAAGGTGTACTCCACCACCTTTTTCTTGTTATGCTTGCTTGAACCTGAAGCTTTTTGCTTTGTGACAACACTTCAGGAAGTGTTGAGGTTTTCTGGCAGACTTTTCCACCAAATGAAGGCTCATTTGTGTTGACTGGTGACTTCATCTGGTCAGTGTCTCAGCTGTGAATCACAGTGACAGACATCAGGTCAGACAACCTCCATCAGTCATTACACACACACACACACACACACAACACCCTCTGTGGAGTCAGTGAGCATTAAAATAAAGGGGCTGAACTTGAGTGGCAACTGATCCAGGTCCGCCAGTAACAATTATTATTTATTTTGATTAGTTTACTGATCAATTGTTTTGTCTAAAATCTACAAAATGTAAGAAATCAGTCAAAATTAGGTCTTCACATTCCTGGTTTTTGTCCGAGCAGCAGTCCAAAACCCAATGACATCCTGTTTACTACCTCACACAAAACAGAAAGGCAGGAAATCCTCACATTTGAGAAGCTGAAATAAGAGAAAGTTTGGCCTTTATGCCCCACAAACTCTTAATCAATTGTCAAAATGGTGAATCTTCTGACAATTGACTAGTCACTAACAGGCCAATCATTTCAGAGCTACACTTACCACAGACTGATTTGGAAGATGATTTGCATGCTGTGTGTTGTGTGTTTTAGCTCAAACTAAATATCCAGATGTGAACTGTTTATGATTTTTGGTTTAATGGATGGTGATGAAGAGCAAACCTGATTTATTTCCCGAAATCCTGCTGTGATTGTGGTCAAAGTCTGAGTACATACCTCTGAGATTATTCCACTGTTAAACACAGACTGGGTGAGGCTGTTGTGTTTAATGCTGCTATTGTTGAGAAAGAGTTGAAATTCAAAATCCTTCAACAGCTGCTGCTTGGGTGGGTTTGATGGGATCTGATAAACAAGTGGCTCAATCAGACTTAATTGTGGGAAAACCAAAACATATCGTAGCTAGAGCTGAAACTATCGCTTGATTATTCCATTACATCAAACATAACTAGTGCAAACTTTTTTGTCATGAGGGGTTAATTTCCTGATTTATTTTGTGATTAAAGGACCAGTGTGTGGGAGTTAGCGGCATCCAGTGGTGAAGTTTCCGATTGTAACTAACTGAAAACCCCTCGCGCCTGTATTTGACGACCTGGGAATGAGAACAGGCTGTGAAGTGTGTAGGAGAAACTAAAAGGGGCTGTGAAACTCACAAAGAAAGCGAAAGTCCCTATCTAGAGCCAGTGTTTGGTTTGTCCGTTCTGGGCTATTGCAGAAACGTGGTGATTAAACATTGTGGACTCCTCGGAAAGCGACCCTGTGGCCTCTATAGATAGAAACGGCTTATCCTAAGGTAACAAAAACACATCAATTCCTATATTCAGGTGATTATACACTAATAAAAACATAACATAATTATTTGGTCCCTCTGTGGCGCATGCGAGAAAATGGTTGCATCTTAATAATGCTTGTTTCGTCTCATCAACAATCCAAAAACTGAAGATAATTAGTTTACTGTCATTTTGGACAAAAAGCAGGAAATGCTGACATTTGAGAGGCTGGAACGAAGCAGTGAATGTTTGGCATTTGTGCTCGATAGATTATTAAAATAGTTGCTTAATTGTTTGTTTCTTTTCTAACCATTCCCTAAGTTTTAATGCTGCAACCCAGATTTATCAAATCTTTTAGACAACTAGCCAGTGGTCACTAAGAACTTTACAGAGCTAAAGGTAACGTGCTAATACGTAATGTGTGAATAAGTTGATGCTGTTTAATATTGAGGTAAACTGGGAAGATATTAAATTATATTTAATAAAAAATAACACACTATACCAAATCACAAAACATATTGTCAGTAACATTTTGCTGAATGATTTACAGATTTCTTAGACAATATTTCTCTATTATGCATATAAATAAAACAAAATTATACCTACATTTTCAAAGGGTTGGTGGCTAATATTCACTACCTCACTAAAACTGTATTTAAAAAAAAAAGTTATGCTGATTGTGATGCTACAGTGACTTCCTGTTTGCATAGCTGATTACTTTCTACACGTTTCCTAGCAACCAATAAAGTCTTTACTAGCTAAGACACTACAGATTTCATTTTGATGGCTGAAACAGTCTAGTAGTTACTAAGAGCTTTACACAAACTTAAAGACTGATGTATGGATAGCTAGTGCAACACATTCCTGTTTTGTAGCTTTCATTATGATTGAGGTGAAACTGCCTTCAGATCAGCCTGGATTAGGAAACACGCTTCTGTGTTTCGTCACAGTGAGGGGTGGGACTAGTCTGACTGGTTCCAGGGTTTGGAGAGGCCCCTGGGACCGTCAGTCACAGGGCGGAGGTTCACACTGAGCTAATGATTATCTCATTCCTGAACCCTCTCTGTGTCGCTATCAGTATTTCCTCCTCTCACACAAACATGCAAATGCACTAAAGTAAAGCAATGGGGCGTAGCAACAGGAGTGGTAAATGCATGCAGTAATATATCTTAAAGGTGCTTCACAAGCTCTTTAATATCCCCATCAACAGCTGTTTGACTCGTTCCACTCTCCTTCCTGTTGCAGGTTTAAACTGGCCAAATGTTTATTTCACTTCATCTTCCTCTTATATTTTCTAAACCTGTTCCTTCTTCCTTCCCTGCCTCCTCCCAGCTCTCTCGTATCCAGGACATTGCTAACTGTGTTACTGTATGATCTCCATTTAGCTCCCCCCTCCTCTGAGGACTCAATATCTATGTCTCTGGCTCCAAAAAGACCCTCAGCCTTTACACACACATTCTACACAACACACATCACCACACACATCAACTATCACACAATCCACTATCAGCCTAGCGAACAATATGAACAGCCAAAAGGTGGAGTCTTTCTTTGTATTTCACAAGGGACACAACAACAGAACCACCCTGTTGCTTTGTTTGTCCAGACTGAATGTGATCATATAATCATACCATTCGGTTTTGTGGTCACGTTCGTCTTTAGTGAGACCTTTACTGTATGTCACTGTATGTATGACACTACGATACAAACCAGTGGGGACAGAGAGGATAAATGTTACCTGTCCAACAGGTTTAAGTGTGTGTGTGCGTGTGTGTGTGTGTGTGTGTGTTTTGAAGGTAAGGATGTGTGTAAAGAGAGAGAGAGAAAGGAATGTTGAAAGGAGAGTTTGCTTTTATTCTTGTTACACCTTTGTACTTGTGTGTAAGAGAAATTGTAAGAAGGGAGGACACTGTGTGTGTGTGTGTGTGTGCGTATGTGTGTGTGACGTGGAGGGTAATTCTTAGGCTTTCAGTGTGCTGCAAATGTAGACAATCAAATTTAGAGGTGAAGCACTTGGTCCATCAACAGAAAATTAATCGGCAACTATTTAAATAATGGGTTAATCTTTTAAGTATGGTTCCAAAATCAAAAATCTGTTGTACTGTTGGTTGGAAAAATCAAGACATTTTTTGATGACTTCTGCTCTGGGAACCTTTTGAGGGACTTTTTATCTACAGTGGGTCGTCTCCCATGGAGTCTGCCATGTTGAACCGCCATGTTTTTATAATTTTACACAAATGCAAATTATGAACACAACATAATACATAATGTATCAGCACCTTTTTATTTGATAAGGCAAACTTGTTGCTTATTTACACATTTAGCACTTAAAGAGCAACATTATCATTCATTTGGATTCATGTTTCTGTGTACCAGATGTATGTAAGTCCTATATTCACCCTTTTAGCTCTAGTTTTGGTCTCTACCAACTCCTGAGAGAAACATATTGCTCTTTACCTGCTAAATGCTCCACTATGTTCACCAGCCAGTCTGTTGTTTGGTTCTCAGCAGGTAGTGCACACTGGGTTATTCAAACATTTTTGCTGAAAACATTCGCCTGCTGCTGAAAATGAAACTGTGAGAGCTGTGAGACTGAACCAAAACAGTAAAGTTGTGGCCCAGAAAACTAAACAATGAGCTAAAAGTTGATAGAAAAAAAGGTGATAATTCTCTGTAGATTCACACGAACAACCCCTTTTACATTGTCTTGTTGTTTTCTTGTTGTCATTTAATTTATTATAAACAACTATTATAGTCGCTTTAATGATGAACTTAGTAATTTAAGTCACTTTAAAGCAAAAATGGAATGATTTGTTTTAATGTGATGACTGTTGGTCACATAAAGGAATTTACTGACATCTTGAACCCAAGGATATTGATAATTTATTAACTTCTGACATTTTATAGACAGATAATAATGAGCAGATTAATCAGTAATGAAAATATTTTTTACTTGCAGCCCTACAGTATGTCTCAGGTTTATTTTCTAAAAATATTTTATCAGCCATCTTTGTCTCAACAATTTGCTACAGCCTCTTGTTCTCTGTCACACACCGTAGTGTAGGAAAATCAGATATAGTGGAAGGAGAGAGAATCTATGCATCTTTATCGACAGGATATTGAATACAGTTTACAGATAGAAAGTTACACAAAAACAGGAATTTCAACATAAAGAACATGTAGTACAACAATAAGCAGAAAAGAAAATAACCAGTTAAATGAAAAAAACATTATTTTTATGCAATGCATATAATTGTTAGGTCAATAAAGTATCAGAAAGATGCTCATCAAACTTTCCCCGCGAACACAAGGTGATCTCATCAAAATGCTATTTTGTGTGACGAACAGTCAAAATCCCCCAAAATTCAGTTGTGTTTCACAGAAGTCAAAGAAAAGCAACAAATACGCACATTTGAGAAGCTGTAGAACTAGACAATGTTTGGCATTTTCGAAAAATACAAGGATACATTTCAAGGATACAAAGTTATTAAAATTTCATGTACAACACAGGGTTGTTTATTGAAATTCAGGTTGCAGTTCCCTTTATGTTCATAAAACAATAAAATATATACAAAAAAATCTTTATAGTAACATTGATTAATAAGTCATAAACCAGAAAAATAGTGTTTTGTTGAGGATGAATTGAACATTCTCAAAGCCTGAGGAAAGAAGCTGTCTTTAAGTCTGATGTTACGGCAGCGGAAGCTTCTGTACCTCTTCCCAGATGTCAGCATGCTGTGGATGGGTGGGTGCTGTTTTTTGTGGTTTTCCCTCGGGCTCTGCACCGGCACCTCACCAATATCCCTGGTGCTGGGTAGATGATGATCTTCTGGGTGGTTTTAATCACCCGCTGCAAAGTCCTCCCGTCCTGGACTGTGCACATGCCAGGTTGTGATGTTTCCAGTCAGGATGCTTTCTGTCGTTCCTCTGTAAAAGTTAATAAGCAGTCAGTACAGGAATTTTCCTTTGTTAGGTTTCCTTGAAGTTATAATGTCTAACATTTCCACATTAAAATCTATATAGGCCTATGTTACCGGTATATATTTTGTTGAATTGTTTTATTCCAAATGTTTCTAAGAATGTTCAAATTCAGAGAAATCAATAATTTTATTCAGGTATGTTTCACCAGTCGCCTGTCAGTGGCGTCATATCCTCTTTGCGCATGTTTCAGTGTTGTGGTTGTTTGCCAGAAGCTGTCAGAAATTGACTGCACTTTGATACACTTTTTAGATCTTGGTTGTTGTTTACTATATATTTTAACCAGTTGAAAGATTTTAGTCATCAGACATCTGGATCTTAAGTTATCAGAGGAACAAGCTCAGTTTACGTTAGCAGCAGCTTGGCCCTCTGGGACATTCTTTGTCTGCCAAACACCATTGGAGAAACAGATTTTTAAGGGGAAACTCCTTTATTCTGTGTTTTTATCGGTTTCAATCACTGGGTCCGTTTGTGTTGGAGAGGAGGAGACCTCTGCAGATAATTTTGCTCCCGGTAGAAACCTCCTGTGATCCTATGCTTCTTTATGCTGTCATCAAACTTCGTCTTTTGTTATTGTTTTCATGTTCGAGACCCCTTAGTGGCAGAAACTACATAATGTACAAATACAGTCGTTTCTGTGCGTTCTTAACCAGTGTGAGATGACAGGTTCTCTGTGATGTTGATTCCCAGGAATCTAAAACTGTTAGCTCTACTGATGTAAACAGGGGTGTGTGTCTTTTCCTCCTTTTTCCTAAAATCAACAATCAGCTCCTTGGTTTTGCGGAGCAGCAGGAGGTTGTTTTCTGCGCACCACTCTGCAAGATTGTTGACGTCCACCCCATATGAAGTCTCATCTTTGTTTTAAATCCGGCCGATGATGATGGTATCATCTGCAAACAGAGTTGTCTCCATGTTGGGGGATACAAGCATGGGTGTACAGCGTGAACAGTCATAATTTTCTGTCAGCCACTAATCGATTGATCAACCAGGCGCTGACATCAGCAGGCACTTATGTTAAAATAAGATAAGATAATTTGGGTGTTACAGCAGCAGAAGAACAGAATAAATACAGATAAAAAGAGAAACGTGAAGATAAAATGGCATTACTGGCAATAACAGAACACATACAGTAGCCACTGCTAGTGTTGTACTTGAAGTAATAGTGCAGCACCGTCTCAAGCAAAGTGGAAAAAGCCACATACATTATAGTTCCTTAATTGTTCTCTGTCTGACTTGTACTGCAGCCAGCTTCACTTCTTGTTTCGGAGGCTTTTCGCTTTCAGTCTGGTCTTCAGTAGATGAAACACTGAGGTCATGTGACAGACTGTCCAGAATGTTACACAGTTTGACCTTAAAAATCTCCTTGGTCTCATTGTGTGTGTGTGTGTGTGTGTGCGTACGGTCAGTGTACCGTTGCATTGTCTTTAATTTGGACTGTGCACAAAAATGGGTTCAAGTCCTACACTGATGTGCCACAACATCGTCATTGTTTCATTTAAAATCCAAAGTGCCGGCGTACAGAGCCAAAACCATGAAAAATGTGCAAGCTAGAAACATTTAGACTGTTATGTGGCAGCTGTGTGTTAGAGGTTTGCTGTTTCTGCAGCAATGCCTCCAGTGTTTGTGTGCATATACATGTATGTAAACGCGTTGCTCTATTATGTTCCTCTCTTAGGACCAGTATGATCACATCGACAAGCATACGCAGTCAGGGATCGACCTGGTGGAGCGATACATAAAGTTTGTGAAGGAACGGACAGAGATAGAGCAGGGCTACGCCAAACAACTCAGGTGTGCCTTTGGTTTTTGTGGCCTTGTTTCTGAATGTTCATTCATATTTACATAGATGTATTTGTGTCTTGTGCATGTATGTATGTATGTATGTGTGTGTAATAGAAAGTCACACTGCCTCTTTCCACTGTCTTACAGGAATCTAACAAAGAAATATGCCAAACGAGGGAGCAAGGAAGAGCAAGACTGCAGGTGAGAGAACAATAAAACGTCCTGTTTCCATTTTACCTTCAACCCCCCATTTAATTTTGCATATAAAATTCATCATCAGAATCTGAGTCGAGTTTATTGCCGAGTAGGTTTTCACATACAGGAAAAGGAATTTACCTTTTCATATATTGGATCATAACAATAGAAATAGTACAAGAAAAGATGAAAGCAATTCAAGAAGCATAAATAGAAAAAAAGAAAATTGACAATAATATGAAAAAATATTATAAAGGTCCTAAAATACAATATGTAAAATATTTAAACAGTTTGCGCAAGAATGTGCAAAATATTGTCCACTGTAATTTACTGTTCACTGAACTCCTTTAGTTACTATTGCTATGCCTGTCAAGCTTTCCATTCTTGCAGGGCTCATATAAAGTAGGAATGATAACAGTGGCAGATTTACCACTCAAAATCACAGTAAATGTTGAAACAATAGGTCTTCAATTTCACAGACAATTTCTAGCTGACAAATATGGATTGTGACAACTGGAATTAAAAGTGAAGCATGTACGTTTTATCAGCTGTAGCTAAAACTCAGTGTGAGTTGTGTGAGTGCTTTGTGTATAACAGAAAAACATTTTGAGAATGAGGAATGAATAATAAGTTTGGAAAATGTAGCACTATTTTATGCAAGTTTGGCTGGAGTTTCATGTGTATAAACTTCCCCAAACCAAAATGAGAGCAGGGCAGTTATTCTTAACTTGATTTAGTGGCATCTTGGCTCCAAAAGAGTGGATGTTCCAGTCCTGAAAAGTCCAAGTAATGTAGTTACTGCTGCACAATGTTACTGCTGTAGTTCGAAAGCCTGTTAGCCAGACATGCTAACATTTGCAACTTATGCAGACAAACATACAGTTTCATCCATTCCTTTGACATTTGCTCTTGTGTTTTTGGCTTTTGAAAGCCAAAAACAAAACACACCATCCTCCAAACTCTTGGGATACATACTGCACTATGACACTTTTTAGAGCCAAATGCACATCACTTCATCATATGAAGAAATCTAAAGCTCGTCAAGCCTGTCCTGCCTAGTTACGGTTGTTGTCTGTCTGTCTTCCCTGCTGCAGATTCAGCAATCACGCATCATTTCAGGAGATCCTGAACGAGCTGAACGACTACGCCGGCCAACGGGAGCTCATTGCTGAAAACATGATCACTGCCATTTGTGTCGAACTCACCAAATACCTTCAGGATCTGAAACAGGAACGCAAAACAGTGAGAGATGGAGGGAGAACACACGAGGGAGGGAGAGAGAGAAGGGACAATAGGTTTAGCTGGCAGATTGCAGATTGATGTGGTATCTTAAATCTCTTCTCTCCCCAGCACCTATCTGATGCCAAGAAGGCCCAGCAGAATTTAGAGAGCAGCTTTAAACAACTAGAAAGTGTAAGTCATGTTGCTTACAGTTGTACAGTTTGGATCACATGATTGTTATTTAAAGTTTGTTCTTTTAAAAAAAATGGGTATCTCGTCATGCAGATAGATTTTGTGGTAAAGTTTTATTTTACAGGTCCGAAGTTTTGTTTTTCCCCCAACAATTTCTTGAAATGTTTCCAGACAAAGAACTGTTTATTTTAGTACTAATTATTAGGGGAAATACAATCCTACAAGTTGTAAGACTTTTATTTTAGCAGAGGTGGCAAAAGTAGACACATTCTTTACTCAAATAGACATACAGATACTTGTGTTAAAACATACTTCCATAAAAGAAGAGGTACAGATTCAACTTCTTTGCTCAAGTAAAAGGGAAAAAGCACAGGCTTGGAAATATACTCTATAAAAGTAATAAGAAATCTCTTGGTTTCTCTGAAGGACATTTCTAACAGCTGTTTCTGTGATGAGTGAACTGAAACTTCAAATAGGATCGAGCTTCCCTCTTGTCTGTTTTGTCTTTTTGTCACGTTTTTTTATGTGTTTTCATCTTGATATGTTATATGCAGCGGTCTTGATGTTGCAAAGGCGTGCAGTGATGCTAAATAAATGCTTTAAACTGAAATTATGAGCCTATTGTAAACATGTAAGGGGCAGAAAGTACAGATATTTGTGTAAAATGTAGAGTAAAAGTAAAAAGTTAGAAGAAAAAGAAAAACTCAAGTAACGTACAGATTTGTACTTTTTTACTGCCCACCTTAGTTAGTACCAATTTACATGATTATTTTCAAGAAACCTATAGCAAAGAAGATTATTAGAAATTTGCAGTTCCATAAATTCAAGTCTTAACACTTTAGTTTTATTTCCTTAGGTTTAGTAATATCTGACATTTCTGTCTCCTCTGCAGTCCAAAGAGAGGAATGAAATCTGGTTTGTGTTGCTGAAAAGACTTGAACAGCAACATCTTTTCTGTGTAAATAGTTAACAAACTGTACACAACTAGGTCTATGGATAATACGCAATAATGCAGTCATTAACTTTCTAGTAATCTGTAATCATAAATGCTTCTAATGTTTTAATGCTTTGAGCACCCCAAACCAAATTCCATTCACCTCCATTTTTCTGGGGCTGGCAAAAGAAATCTCTGGCACAAGATCTCAAACTCCGGCCAAATTAAAATTAAATGAAATCTGTCTGCATTACTGAGTAAATCTGTCTTTTGTTTGTAATTTGTGTTAACTGACCCTTTAACATATTCTGCATTATTTGGTGGACAGCCCCTTTGCATTTTTAGTACCTCGTGGGATTGAATTACGTGACTTACATAATTGATAATTAAGTTAACACTTCTAAAGCTCTATTCATTAAAGTGTATTAAAGTGTCTGTGTGTGTGTGTGTGTGTGTGTGTGTGTACATGCCCTGTAGACTAAGAAGCGCTTTGCCAAGGAGTGGGCGGAGGCTGAAAAAGCCACACAACAAGCAGAGAAAATAGAGAGCGACCTCAATGCCACCAGACTCGATGTCGATAAAGTAAACACACACGCGTTACCATCAACAACAACTGAGCACTGTTTTTTTTCACCTTTTGGTTTTTAAGATATTTTCAGTCATAATCCTTGAACTGTCCTTGTCTGTCTCCCTCTGTGGCTGCTTTTGCCTCCTCGTGTCTCCCATCCCTCCCTCCACTTCCTCGCTACATCTGTTCCTGCATTTCTCCCACTTTGCATTTTGTTTTGCATCTCTTCATTTCTCCCCCTTCCCGCATCCTTTCATCTTCCCCTCCCTTTCTCTTCCATCGTTCCACCTATCTTTTTGCTCTGAAGGCCAAGCAGCATGCCCATTCCCGCACACACACAGCAGAGGAGTGCAGGAGCGACTATGCAGCACAGCTCCAGAAATACAACAAGGAACAAAACTTCTTCTACTACTCGGAGATACCGCAGATCTTCAATGTGAGACAAAGACATATAAACACACACATTCACAATGCAGTACAAGGCAGAGCCCACACTTAAAACCAAACACACCCTGATATTGTTTTCAAAATGCAACACTCCTCCAGTGTTTTCATATGCAACTGAAGGTACAATAATAAACACAGACAGTGGGAATATTATATGATATTTAAGGAGGTTGTTGTGTGTCGAACAGAAAATGCAGGACATGGATGAGCGGAGGATTCGGCGGATGGCGGAGGGCTACTGCCAGTTTTCAGACATCGAGAAGAAGGTGCTGCCCATTATCTCCAAGTGTCTAGAGGGAATCTCTGCAGCAGGGGTGAAAATTGATCAGAAAAAGGTAAACATTTGGTTAGATGTTTGTTAGACTATACATGTCTTTGTATGTTATGTATACAGAAGCAACAAGACTG